GTGATCAATATTGTAACAAATTAGATCACTACTTTATTCACACATGATTAAAAATCTCTTAAAGAATAATTTGTTAACATGATGAAAAGATTGAAGAATATGGTTCTACTCTGTCATGTCTCCCCCTTTATCCCTCAGTGTGTTTTAGGATGATTTTTTCATTTTACTTTAATAGTTTCCTCTTTACTGTTATTTTAATTTACCAATTGATTAATTCGTGGTTAATAAATCTTTTTGTCTTTACGTATTTATCAAGTCAATTCAAGTTCTTTAAATGTGGTCCATTTTATGTGCGTTTTGTGAATAAGTGTGTTTATGTGTAAACTCACTCATTCCCGTTCTCCTTTTCTCCTCCCCTGGTTTTCTCAAGCCGTGACCCCGGCCTCCTCACTTCTGATCGACCATGCCAACTCCTCTGATTCTGTCTTCTCCTCAGTCCATTAGCTCTTGAATCCATCCGCTGTAACTCTTTAGGCCGCCTTTGGCCCAGTTACATCTGCAGCCCACATCATGCCACTGTTCTTGCACTGCTTTGCATTTCAACTCCTCCTTTACAGTCTCTTCGCTGTTTTGATGGAGGGCGGATTCTGCTCTCATGTCCCACACTCTGCTCTTGTGCCAAATCTCGTGGCTCAGCTTGGAACTTCATGTCCTGTCTGAGGGACTGATGAGAGTATCTCAGCATGCTGTTTGGTTCTGGATGCCTCAGGTGGAGATGGTTCTGGATGCAGTTCTGGCTGTAGTCTTGTTGTTGTTGGTTCAGCTCTGGTTCTCTGTCTGTCAGATGGAGAAGGAGGAGTCTCCTGTTGGGTTAGGTCTTTTGTCTGCTTGGAGGGTCGGGATCGTAGCCTTTCTGACTCAGAGGGGGAGTCCAGGTCTCGGGACGCATTACCTATAGGAAGTCTAGCACACTGAGGTTAAATAAATCCAACCCTTTCCACTCTGTCTTTTTCTAATCATACTATCTGTCTTAGTTGTTAACCAGTTAAGCCCGAAGGTCCCCCCAGTGGACCCCTCCCACAGTTTTTTTTTCTCACATGTCTCAGGGCTTCTTAACATTTATGAAACTATTAATGTTTCATACCCTTTTAAAGGTAAGAAACTCTGCTAACTGACAATAAGAACAATTGTTAGCTAAAAAAAACACAAGAGTAATACCAAGCCTTGAATTAGCATTGAGCGAAAAAATGCTAACTAATGCTAACGCTTTTTTACACACAACACACGGTAGAAATGCCCTTATTACTATCTTAACTGCACAAACAAGATATACGATTTAAAGCTGAGACTCCACAGATTCCACACATGTAATGTCATCACTGTACGACCTCGAATTCCTGGAGCTATCAGCCAGAAAAGAGAAAGTAAACAACATCCGGTTCCAAAAATATTACAATAATTACGTCTTACCTTTTTTGATTTGTGATCAAAAGTTGTGTTCAACGGAATAAAAACGCATCTCAAGGTTAATCCAATGTCTTTGTGTCACGTAGAATTTTTTACTGATAATCAATCATCATATTTATGGAAATATACTCGGTATAAAGTTTTGCCGTCCAGGCTTGCACTTTCAGATATGCTTCGTTTGCTTCTCTATTACGTCCGCTATGGTAATGTTTACTAGATTTGGGAACTGCCCATCGATTCTATTGGTTCTGATGGTTAAGAAAAAGGTGTAAATCACACGAATCGACCAATGGGTTCCAGTGATATGGTCCTGCGTAAAGTATGAAGAATGCCAGCCAGCGTAACAATATTACGCAGCCGACTTCATTTATTGTTTACAACGTAACGAAGCAGGAAATGCAGCAGGACCCAGAGCGCACGGAGCACAGAGCGGACAGCAGATAACGGAATTGCAGTTTTATTGCTTATAGATTATCAGAACATTTCAAAGGGGACACAGCCCCATTGGATATTAATCTATGGATTAACTACATCATCGTTTTAATGCCATTGAAGACCAGTTTAGACCAGACAACGAGGAAGGTAAGTCATTGTTAGCCTAGCGCATGTTAGTACCACTTGTTTTGATGTACGTTTTTGTTGATAACGTCGCGAGTTTGCATCTTTCAGTGTTGAGGTGGGAACCGTTAGATTCGGTGTCTCCTTGCAATCATAAACGATGTGTTGGATGTGCAGCTAGGATCAGTAATAAGGGAGCGAGGAGTGATTTTCGGTGCACTAATAGGTTAGCATCTTTCGCTCGGGGCTAATTCAGAGGATAACAGATGTTTTATTTTTTTTATGTTTTATGTTTTTTTTTTTTTTTCTCAACAGTTGTATTTGGATGGAATGAATACCTATAGTGATAATTCAAAGTAATAAAATGATTTTTACAGTGAAAAAGTTCAAATGGAACCGATGGTTCCCAAATTACCCAGAGGTGAGTCCGCTTGGACTTTATTTTTCTAAATCTCTCTAAAAAGGTCAAATTTCACTTGTTTTGCATCAATCTTGATACAGGGTACTTATTATATGTCTACTACTTAGTCTACTAACCCATCATGCGAGGGTGGTTTTCACTATAAGTAAAGGTTTTTTTTTTAGGTGGACATTATAATTTACATGTTTTTACTATGTTCCATCTGAATTTACTTTAAAATAAAAACATCTATATTGATTCTGACACTTCTACATCCAACTCACAGATGTAACCTTGCTTTGAGAAAAATAATTATTAATTTACCCCTTTTAGAAGTGAAGATATATCATTTGTTGTGTTAGTGGCATTTTCGAGCCTGAAACCTGAAAAACAGGCTCAGGGCTTAACTGGTTAAATGCCATCTAAACAACACAATTAATGTCTACTAATGATATTACAAAAACTCCCTCTAAAAATTGTTTCATCCATTGTTACATATTTACCCAACATAACTCTTTCAGGAAACCATTTTCTCCTATAAATTGAAATACTTACATTTTTCCAGCATCACATATTCCACACACTACGAAAGAACATCTCCATATTTTCTCCAATATTCTAAATCCCACTGTTACTTAGAACAATAGTAAACCTGCAGAGCACACTAATCAGATCACAGTAATTAAATTTGACTCAAGTGTAGGCCTATGTCTACTTTCCATTATACTTATTACTTTTGCTGAACATTTATTTATATTGTCTAAATTCCTTGTCTATGATGAGCAAACAGTTTGAGTGTAAATGTGTTTTTCTCAATGTATTTACACTCTACGGATTCTTGAGTGCTGTCGTTCCTAAAAATGTTCAATTCCTTATTGTTTTGTACCAGTTTTTCAAAATCAGTTCTAACTGCCGTGCCGTTTCACAAAAGGTGGCAGTACGGCTACACAATGTGTAAGTGGGTGCCAACATGTTCCTTTTTAAATTTGATCTGGAGTGCATCTGCAGTGCGTTATACAACTTCCCATGGTCCACTCCATACAGGTTGCAACAAGTTCATCTTGTGGATTTTTACATTTACCTAATCACCTGATCCAACAGAAATATTCGTCATGGCCCTGGCATATGCTTCCGCCTCAATTTTTCTAATATCTAACACTGGTTCTCCTCTGTATTGTGAGGTGCTACCTTGTGGTGGATATTGCTGAGTGGGGCAATCTCTGGCCAAATGTCTACAATCACCACATATGAAGCAGCCATCATCCCTTCTTCGTCTTGATCGTTGCTTTCCTCTCCATTGTCCCTTTTGTTGATGCTGTATGGGAGTGTATACCTGTGCTTGCGGCTGTACTTGGGTAGGAAGATACACAGGTATTTGCTGTTGAAGATACTGCGGTGCTTGTGGCTGTACTTGCGTAGGAAGATACACAGGTGTCTGCTGAACCTGGTTTTGTGGACATACACTTCCTCCTCCGCTTTGTTGAACTGTTGGAGGTGTCCGCCCTGCCTTCTCTGCTAGTATGGCCATCTGCTTTGTCGATTTCTTGTTTTTATTAGCTTTGGCATCTTTCTCAGCTACTTGTATCTTCAAAAGTCTTAGTTGTAGTGTTTTAATTTCTTCGTTATTTCCCCACTTTGTTGCCTGGTATTTCATATCGTGGTGAATGAGATGTAGTCTCCATTCTTCAATGGGTTTAGCGACTAATCCCACCACGTCTCCCAGGCCTGCCTGCACTGATCGGGGAAGGGCTTTAATGACCGCATCCTTCCACAACATTACAACAGCCGGAGAAACGTCATGCCGTTCTCCAGTGTAGTCCTCCCACACTCCTTCACATCTCTTCAAGAAGGCATGCATTTCTTCCTCTGTGCCTTTCCTCAGGCTGTTGAGGGCATGTAAACTGCGTGTTGTCGGGTAGATGTGACGAATAGCAGCCCAATAATTCGACCTGATATTGTTGAATGAAGTTTCATCTGGGTCGTGCGTGCAATTGGCCTCGGAATCTACTGCTCTTGCCTCTAGTCTTCCTTCTATCCGTCCAAGCAGGGCTCTCATGTCTCCCAAGCACAGGTGGTCTTGGACAGTGTACTTCTCCAGATCATTCACCCACTTCTGACCTCCTTTCGTGAGTGGAGGTAGCTTTGACACTAATGCTTCCATGTCCCTGTGAGTCCATGATTGGTATTGAAATCCTCCTCTTCCAGCCGCTATCAATGGCATGGAGGTATGTGCACCGGTCTTGGTTCTTTTAGTTTTGGGGCATGTCCCAGGGTAATGTTGCTCGTTTTCATCGCTACTATTATTCTCAGGAGGAGATGCAAAACTGCGTTGTTGCTGTGACTGTTCATGGTATGGGGAGTGTCTACTGGTTTCAGACTGTGTACCGCCGTCGTCATCTTCATCTCCCCGTCCTTTGGAATAGTCAGGAGAGTAGTTTGTTCGGCGTGTTCTTTGAGTTCTTTGTTCTTCTCTCCTTTCTCTCCGTTGTCTATCTGCCATCATGTCCTGGAATCTTACATTGTCTTGTCGTCTCTCCGCCAGAAGTTGTTGGTATTTATCTTCCTCCCTTTGTCTTTCTGCAATAATGTCATTATGGGCTTCATCTGCCTTCCGTCTTTCTTCAATAATGTCATTATGGGCTTCATCTGCCCTCCGTCTTTCTTCAATAATGTCATTATGGGCTTCATCTGCCTTTCGTCTCTCTTCCATTCCTCTGATGAGTTCTGCTTCCATTCTTCTGTTGAGCTCCTCTTCCATTCTTCTGTCGAGTTCCTCCATTCTTCTGTCGAGTTCTTCCTCTCTTCTGCCGAGTTCTGCTTCCATTCTTCTGCTGAGTTCTTCCATTACTGGCAGATCTTCTGCTGCTACCACATGTAAGCTGTTTGTCAATGCCTGGCTGGTATATTTTAGATGGAGAATCAGACTTGCAACCATAACTTTTCTTTTTTCAGCTTTTTTCATAGCGTTTTTAGCAGGTCCATACCGAGGGGGTTGTCCGGCTTTGATCCATGCTTTTTCATGTTGTAGGTATTCAGCATTCTCATGTTCAACTACAGCTTTTCTATGGGCTTCCGTTGGTCCAGGTTGATCATCTGCTGGAATCAATCCTCTCGTTTGCCACTGCTTGAACAGTTCCTCTATTTGGTTCCATGTCTTCTGTCTTTTACTGGGAACTGTCCCAGCATCTGACCAGGTGTTTACTCTCGCCTTAATATCTGCAGTTGTGCCTGGTACTGTGAGTGCTCTTAACTTGGTGTCTTCTGGCGACATGTTTCTTAAGTACACGGATAATATTATTAAGTTATCAAAAATGAATTACTAATCCTCTGAATAGTACCTTTGTATTCTTTATAAAGATATCCTATGTCATCTGAACTTAACTTTAAAATCTGGTAAATTCTTCTTCTTTTTTTTTACAGAATTTGGAAAAATAAAATAAATTGTTGTAAAACTGAAATTGGAAAATCAAAAGACAAATTAAATTAAAATGTTGAAATGCACATTTTTTAAATCTGAATAAATAAATAAAAATGAACAGTGTATGGTTTTGAATTTGTAATATGAAAATTGGAATATGGTGCAAATCCAAATAAACCGTGTACAGTGTATACTCAAGTTTATGAAATTATGCAAATGCCATAAAATGTGTCAACTACAATACTTCAATTCAAAGAAACCACATCTGTGTGGTGAAGAATGTATTAACTGTAATACTTATTATGTCCGCTAGGGGAGCTGTTTTATTTTTAAACTCCTCTCAAATCTATCAATTAGTACTTCCGGTTCATAAACCTACTTCCTGTTTATTTCCCCAAAATAATAAAGTTCAAATGACTTTCTTTGAAAAGTATGAAAAACAAAACTCAATCTACTCTCAACGTTCATCTACACCATCCCTGTGTATTTAATCAGTAGTTACCGGTTGTATCTTTACTCAAACTATTTCACCATCTAGTAATGCTAACTGGCTAGCTAACTAGCTTAGCAGTATAGCATTAACCTCATGTGACTGGGGGAAGGGGAACAATGGGAACACTCAACATGTGCAGATTAAAACCACACTGCTTGACAATAACACAATCTTCATTTATCTTAGCTCTAAATTCTATAGATGCTGACCTTAAAAGCTGATCTCATACCAACCTTGTACACAATCGTTTCGGCTTAGAACATCGCACAAAAATATACGTTTCGGCTTAAAAACTCCACATCAAACATATAGACTAACATGAATGGACCCAGTCCAGTGTAAACCAGATAAAATCTAGTGCCTCCCCAAAAGGTCTTAATACTATGTAATATTCACATTAATCGGGCGGCACCGAAGATACAACAGAGATAAATAGAAACACTATATACAATCTCCACACCACTCGCAATCACCACGGAATTAAACAGGTAACTGTCTCACCTTTCGTTTAGGCCCAGCCAAAAACTCATTTTCTGCAGCCTAGTGTGATGCTAGTTAGCTTGCAGCCTTCCCCTCTCTTCGAGCTCTATCCTGCTTCAGGGTCCACCCAGGTAAGCCAAATGTTAGTGTATTCTAGAACCCTGAAGGCAGGAGAGACTGAAAAGAGTCAAGGGAAGCTTATAAAAGTTAACAGCATTTAATTACACAAAAGATGCGGTGGTGTACAAAATGAAATGTGCGAGTGGAGGCGCTCTCCTCATCCGACCGGTCAGTCCAGGTCAGCAGGTAGAAGAGGTCAATTATTGGCTTGCTCTTCCTGTTGTCATCTGAGGTCTTCTCCCAAGGCCGCCCCTCCCTACAGGCCAATCACGCAGGCTGCATGGGGCCCCGCCTTGCGCAGGGGGCCCCGTCCAGAGGGCCCCGCCCAGAGGGCCTCAGCTGCTGTGCGCAGTTCTCCACTCAGTTCTCCGCCCACCCCCCGCGAGAGTGAGAGGTGACAAGGGGAGCACATCTGTAACCCGACACCGTTGCAATGAATCGACATCTGACCAATCACGGCTTTGATACGGCCACTAGTGCAGGTGAAGAGATGTCGGCGAAAAGACAGTTTCAGTCCGGCGCAAGCAAGAGGGAAAAAAAAAAAACATAAAGAAACTAGAGCATCACTCGAAGGTGGGTTATTGTATGAGTCAAATGTACAACTTGCGAATGTTGTATAAGTCAAATTGCCAATTGCCATATTAAAACATCAGCTACAATTCACGACATGAAGAAGGCAGTCTCTGCATAGCATATAGGCTAATGGAGATGCAGTTATTTCCAGCATTCTTTATTTACCATTCATTCAAGTATGTTATGCCTTTTATCTGCTAATGTACAGGAAGAAGAGTGATACACTGTCTTTCTAGTTGGCTTACATAACAGTTAAAGTTTACAGCCTAAAAAACATTGAGCATTTTTTCCCCATTTATTCATTTTTATGTCAATTTGCACATTTCATGCATGCTCAGCCTCTCCCCTTAACTCCTGCAGTCATCATCATGTCAACCACAACCAGTGTTGGGACTACCTTTTGCGGTAACTAATAACGTTTCTAGTTACCTATTCCCATTCAGTAACGCCGTTATAGTTACTGTGATTTAAATGGGTGCGTTACTGCGTTACATTATGTTTCCTGTTATTTTTTTTGGAAATTCAGTTCCTAACGGACGCCAAAAAAGCCTGAGATTATGGAATTAAACCAATAAATAAAAGCAAGGATAATTGTGTGTTATTGGTGAGTAAATAACAGTGTGTTATTTTGAAAAGAATAACAAATTAGAAGGAACAAAAGATTTAAAAATACAGATTTCAGTATTCTGAGGCTCTGAGCCCCATTTATTTTCCTCACAGACGGCAACAAAAGTCCGAAATTATACGATTTAAAATAAAAGCAACAATTGTGGCTTGATATTGAGTAAGAACCTATGGTAAGAACATGTTTTTATGAACCACACAGCTTCCGGTCTTCCACGACCCGACCGGAGAAAAAGACGTGCTACAGGCACGAAACACATTACCAGTAGAAATACATTGCTTTTAAAATCGTGCTGTGCAACACGAAAAAAAGGGGAAAATCGTGTTGGTGAACACGAATCAATAGATACAAAATCGTGTTGGTGAACACGAAATGCCATGAGACTGTGTTGATGCTAACGCTTGCGCGAATGCTACTGCATTTTCTCATTGAGTTTAAACATCTCCACATGTCATCACATAAACACAATACATGCTACTAATCCTTACAGTGTAAGTGTAAGGCTCACACTTACACTTACATTCATTGCTTTCTGACGGACTTGACCCTTTTACTCTTCAGGTTGCATAGGGAAAATTAGTGGCAGTGTACTCATGGATGTCTACTGCCATGCTATTCAGTTCACGTTCTCCTACTTCCTGTACCCGGTTTCCTGTCTAACCTTCAGTACAAATGTTACAAAAATATAAATGTGCAAATATGAAACATACAGGTCAATATCACCTTGCTATTGGTAGCTGAACTGTCAATACCCCAAAACATATTATAAGATATAAATACCTAATTTTGAGTTATTTAGACACAATTAACACTTATATTTGCATAAGAATAGATCATATTTGTTAAGTGTTATTATGGGAGAATTACTATTCTTGTGCTACTAGGCCTACTGCCTTATTAGGCCCATACTGAGCAGCGCATATTAAGACCAAAACTCATGTACAACAACTTCCTTACTTGCAATAAATAAGCACTAATTAGAGGGTTATTGAGGAAAAACTCTCAACTAATGGCTTATTACTTGTAGAATATGGTCATGTAGAATAAGGCATTAATAAGTGTTTTATAATGACTACTAAAGAGCCAATATACTGCTAATATGCTAACAACTATAGAGTTGATGGTTAATTTGTGTACCTTAATATAAAGTGTTACTGGTATTTGTTATACCCCCCCTAACAGTTTCCTGTGTTTCTGCAGATTCCCCTCCACCACTGAATATCTGATCCTTAATGAACACAATTGCACGGTCCACAACGTTAGAAGTCACAAAATCCAAGCCCAGCTGAACATGATCCACCCGGAGATCTTTCCAGAGCTCAAGACTTTCAAAACAAAGGTATTTGGAATAACTGCTTTTCTATGTTTTACACCTTTTAATGAACTAAATATATTTGGGTTTTGGTAAAGAAATGATATACAAATATAAAGAATAAAACAATTATTGACATTTTTTTATGACATTGATTGGAAAAATAATTAGTATAGTAAGATTTATCCCTTTTAATGTTCTGTGGAACTGTTCCATAAAGCACAATTTGAGGAGCTTTATTTGATTTAAAACGTGTTGAACTAACCTGATGGAGCCATCTCTCCCCCTCGGTTTAGGTATGTTATTTGAAATAAGTCCACTAGATGTAGCTGTGTCTACGTATGAGTTTTTACGCTCTGAAAAAATGCTTTATTTGTCATTTTGGTAAAAGGGAGTGATGTCATTTGATAATTAAAGGAATGCGTGATTGCAGCTATAATACATATAAGTCACGGTGAAAATGATTTATATAAAATTATCACAAAATTATGATCTTTACTTCAGCAAAATCTGCTGTCATTTGACAAAAAACACTATAATATTTTTGGTTTGGAGTTTACCATTGTAAACAGTTCATTTAAAGTGAAGTTATGGAAATGGGTTTTTCAATGGCTGATGGAAATATTCTGAGAGTGGAGTGTTATTTTTTTGGCTCATATTATTAATAATACTAAATGTCACAAAGTTGCTGCGGTTAAATGAACATTGATAATAGGTTACATCTCGGCTGCTTCAATAGCTCTGCACTTAATTTGCATTAATGCATTTATTTGGTATAAACAAATGTATAAGAATAATGTTCTGCACATCAAACAATTGTAAACAATTAAAAAGTTATTTATGCTAACTGGATATTTTAAGTGCTCTTAGCAACAGCATTTATCAGCGTCTCTTTGTATCTGAGAGACAGGAAAATTATGTGGACTAGCATCAATAAAATAAACCGTGTTATGTATTGTCCTTCCCTGGTGTTGGCTCAATGAAAGTTTCACCACATAATTTACTGCAGTGGCTTTCTATAACTATATTCCCTATGGCTTTGAAAGCAGTCTTCACAAAGGGATAACTCAAGTATGGTCCATAAAAAGTAGTTTATAAGAAAACATGAAAAGCTTTGGTCTCATCCCCAGGAGGCCGAGGCAGCGCTGCACGTCTCCAGCGTCAGAGCCCAGTGTCTGCTCAAGTTCCAGCTCAGACCCGTAATGGGGTGGCAAAGGTCAGTCTGTCCTTCAATCCCCCCAATTTAGCCGACATTACTCTGCTGCCTTGTCACAGAAAACAATCTGGAATGGACCATTGCACTCGGCCGCTCTCTTCTTCTTTCTTCTTCACCTCGTCTTACAACTGTCAGTGTTTTCTCCTCGCTGTTTCTGTCAAGTTCTGTAGAGGCGCATCAAGGTCAGGAAGAATCCCCTGCCAGTGTTGTTGCAGGCAGTGGTGTGTGTCTTCTTCTTCCTCCTCCTCCTCACTCTGTTTCTCATTCGTTAGAGACGCCATCCCTTCCTGCAACACGGAGGAGTTTGTGAAAGAGGCGTCGGAGGTCCCAAACTTTCTGGAGGAAGTGGACAAGTGCAGGGAGATTTGCTCCACTGCCGCTGCTCATTGTTCTGGTGAGTTCTCCTCTCTAAAAGCCCAGAAGGGATGTTTCTTACTTCAAAGCCTGACAAACTGTTTCCTACTTTTTAAGTGGATGGTCTTGGCGGAAAAAAAGAGTTTAATCGTGTATCTTTTTCTATCTGCAGGGCAAAGAGAGAAATCCTTCGAGGTGGTTTTCTTGGGCACAGGATCCGCTCTTCCGATGAAGATCAGAAACGTCAGTGGCACTTTAGTGAATATCAGGTATTGATCACAGGTTATAAAATAATGTACTTTTATTATTTGAACTTGGATTGCACCTGCAAATCATCCCATTATGTCCAACCTTTCATCCGGCACACAAACATCCACTTGGCCCTGACTAAAGCTATAACACGCTTCATAGGATTATTTCAGAGAAATTGCATAAAATGATGGTCATTTTAGCTTATGTTACATTACATGTTACTTGTTAGACGCTTTAATCCAAAGCGACTTACTGACTTCAATACTGTGGACAATCCCCACAGGAGCAATTTGGGGTGAAGTGTCTTGCCCAGGGACACAATGACATGCTGACTGCAGTGGGACTCGAACTTACCCCCTGATTCAAAATTCAGCGCATTATTCCACTGAGCCACAGCCTCAGCCTACCATCAATACAAAGTTACATTACATTACATTGCATTGAGCTGACGCTTTTATCCAAAGCGACTTACAATAAGTGCATTCGACCAAGAAGATACAAACTTGAAGAAAACAGAATCATATAAGTACATCAGGTTTCATAGAGCCAAAACATTTCAAGTGCTTCTCAACTAGCTTTAGATAAGCCAGTCCTTTATTAGTATATACGTGCTTTGTTAGAAATTCTATGTTAGTAATTATATCGCTCGAAGTGGAGTCGAAAGAGAAGTGTTTTCAGTCTGCGCTGGAAGATGTGTAGCTTTCTGCTGTCCTGATTTCAATGGGGAGCTCATTCCACCATTTTGGAGCCAGGATAGCAAACCGACGTGTTATGTGCACAGTTTATTATTTCCTTCCTTTGGTGTGAACATTTCCTCAATGAGAAAATGACAAAAAATGTCCTTCAACAACCTTTCTTTCCACGACTAAGACGAGACCATGAAAAAGAAAAGACCAAAACAACGTTTTAAAATAAACTATATCACTTTATTTTCACAACCTCCCTTCTCTCTTTCTCACAAACACACACCTATCAGCTTGAGTCTCAGTCCTCAGTCTTAATGTAGCAGCAGTGAAAACTCAGTAGTGCTTTGTGTCGCTTCTGTTTTTCATGATAATGGTTCTGCATATGTGGATTTTTCAAACTTGTAAAAAAGTGGCCTTTTCACAAAGGAAAGGCGTACACTTTGACTGTACACACCTAAAAAGTTAGTTTCCCCTGTCCACATTGCAACACTATTCCACTCACTCCATTTTCTGAGACATAACAGAGGCCACGAAAAGCTATGCTTACAGAAATAGTGCTGTAGGTAGGGATAAGGCCTTAAAGGTGATGCAATGTAATGAATTTTGATTTGTTTTTTATTCAAGCTTTGAATACAAAAATGATACAATTTCCGTTGCTGGAGTAACTCCACAATGGCAGTTAAAACAAACCCTGTCCTCATGTCCTCTCTCTGTGTAGCCCGAGTCAGTCCCTGATGCTGGACTGTGGGGAGGGGACCTTCGGGCAGCTCTGCAGACACTACGGAGACGCCGTGGACCAAGCTATGTCCACGATCTCCACCGTCTTCATCTCACACCTGCACGCCGACCACCACACGGTAAGCAGCTGCACGTTAATACATGTCAGAAGGGATGATCTTAAACTGAGCCGCGTCAAAATGACAAGAGGTTCAGGCAGATCCTGCGCCTGTTGTTGTTTGTTCCAGGTACATATAAAAACTGAACGCTGCATGTTTAGTTTTGACTCAGAAAGCAGACCCGTTCCACACTGAAAAAAGGGGAAAGTGGGGTTGTTCAATTTGCAAATATGCAGACACATAATATGACACATAATTTATTCATGTTTCTCATCGAAACATGAATCAATCATGTAGAACTATTTTAATCTTGAGGGTGTACGTTCTATAAATCTCAATCATGTTAGGAAATAAGAAAAAAGTTATGTTTATCTCTGTAACTCCGCCCACTGAGCACATACGTCGCAGCTTGCTCTGCAGCCGATTACTCAGCTTCTAATTATTATTTACAAATATTTTATTCACAAATTAATATGGTCGGACTCAAACACGTACTTTAATAGTTTCGTAATTGAACCTGAACAATATGGCACTTTAATGGACAAGATGTAAAGCAGAAAAAAATTGCTAAATATATTTATTTTTAAAAATGTGAAGCTTTTTCTTTTTTAAACAAAGGAGGGGGGGAGGGGTTCTACCATATTTTCTTCCCGCATCGGAGGAGTAAGCTGGTTCTGTTCCGAGGAGATCTCTACAAGGTAAAAGTTATTACAAGTTATTTAATGTCATCAAATGCTCGTCATAGTTACAGGTTATCACAAGACGCATTGTTTGCAAAAAGCTGAGTTCACATTTGCTGTTACAAAGAGCAACGTAAATACAGCTGTCAATTTGTAAACATTGTCATTCACTGGTGTTAGCTAGGATAAAGCCATGAAAATCATAAGGTGAGTTTATATTGATTGACTTGTGTTTAGCGTGTTTTTATAGTCTGAGTATTTGTAGAGCGTAAGTCCGGCAGTTGCTTGATTTACAATATTTAAAACTATGAACCTTGCCCAAAGTTATGCACATTAAACCGAGCTCAGTGGGGAGGGGGGAGTCATAGCCGATGGATGAGCTTGCGGCATGTTTGCATGTCTATACGTCTTGTTTTAAATGATTGTTTCATGTCTGCTGTCAGGCGGTGTAGAACCTTACTGCGTCGGTCCGGCTCTGCATGTCTACTCTTGTGCCGACCTTTAAGGGCGCTGATGCAGGTTGTAGGCCTATCTTACGTTAAGCGACCATCTTTACCCATTTAAGGTGTTGATTGTTAAAGATACAATATTGTCTGTGGGACCGCAGTGTTTTCCCTAAAAAACTGTGTTTATGTCTCTGCTTTGATCCGCTCTGTGTTCATGTAAATACCGTAAATACACACAGATCAAAACAGAGACACAATATTGTGTGTGGGGGTGTGTCCCGGAAAGCGACACTTGATACTGGAAAGTGGAGGATATTAATGATTGTGTTACATTTTAGCAGCGGTGCACATACCATGAATATGGGGAACATACCGGACAGATCTTAAAGTAAGGGTTACGATCCACCCGCTGTGAAATGAACTTATCTTCTATATTTGCCGTACACTTGTGTTTACGGAAGTTGAGATGTTTCTCGGTTGTGATTGGTGTCGAGCGGTGCGCGCTGCTGCAGTGCAGGGTTGCGTTCCGATAATCCAAAAATCAGCTCCTAAATTCTAACCCTATCTCCTATTCCTTGACCTCTGAGTGAAACGTCACGGGGTTAAGGGATAGTGGATAGGAGAATTCAAAAGGATTTAGGAGAAGAGACTGCGGTACTTTAGAGAATCCGAATGCACTTTCACTATCTGACGTGTTTATGATGAGCCAGCGGACGTCATGAATGTGCGTCTGCTGCTGTGGGGAAACTATGGAAACTACAGTTTTCTATAGCGGACTACAACATGGATGTTTAATAAGAACGAGGGACTACTGTAAACTCATCTAGAGACTCTGCACCGTGCTCTGATGCTGTTGCTTTGCTTTATGAACGTGGACAACAGAGAAACATATTCTTCATGACCAAAGTTGGAATTGAAATAAAAAAGGAAAGTGAAACTTATGCTCGTCACCCTCTCCCTCCGGTCCACATTAATACAAATGATCCCAATACGTATGATTGTATGAAAATATCTTAAAATCAATACAAATGTATTTATTATAAACGTTAGTCCTTAACATCTATCAGTGTGTATATCACCATTCAAACATCTTTTAAAAGTTGAACAAACTCCACACAGCTCAGTGAGATGTTGACTTTATTTGATCATTTCAGTAAAAACTAACGTTCATATTTCTCTTTTTGATTATAATACTGATGAACGTTCAAAACAAAGCACTTTGGCAACTTACCACATACGTTTTAAAATGCTTAATAAGCACCGTAATTTTCATGATATCATTTCTCCCATTATCGTTTGTGTCCGTGAACGGCCGACTGTTGAGTGACGGCAAATGCTGCGGCTGCAATGCATTGTGGGGCAGCAGTTTTTTTCTCCTCTTCTTTCGGCTAGGGAGGTCCAGTGGTTCCTAAGCTAAAGGAGGTTATAAAGGAAGTTTGAAACCTCCTTTCCTTTCATTTGGAGAATTGGAACGGCACTTATCATGGCTGCCACTGACGTACTTCCGGGTCATTTCACTCCGTTAGGAAGGTTCCTAAGCTAAATTGACTATTGGACTGGGCCCCAGGTCTCCATTGAAACCAATGGAAATGAGCTCGCAACGTTGATGTGTATGGCTCCGTACAAAGTTGTACTCATTGCATTAGTATAGGCTACTGTAGCTTTTTACACTGGAGGCGCCCATCTCGGCCGAAGTCGGTTCATATTAACCTAAAGGTACATCATTAAATGGTAAATGTCGCCTTTAAGGAGCAGAACATTTTTGTTTTATTTGTGTGTGAATATTGAAATAATTTCAAATGTGTTTTTCTGTGATAGGTAATTGGTGTGGAGAAGATTGACCTCAGCCTTGCTTTGAACATTGTTCCAAAGGCTCTGTAGTAAATGGTGAGTATTCAAATGTTTTGTGTGATTTACTTGACTAATTTAAACTTGATATTTAACTAACTGAAAACTGGTATTAGTCTGACAATTTCTGAATATTTATTCATAACATTTACATACTGCAAACATTGCAGGGATATACACATTTTCTGATTTATTAGGCAAAAGTTATTCAGAAAGTGAGAGGCAAAAGCCAAACATTCTGCGATAAAGCCTCCTTTACAAAAGTGATAATGTTTTGTTTGTTGAAATGGCTATAAGGGTGTTTCTTATATGTAGTCTTATATTACAGTAATACTTATTTGAAGTCGCTTTGGAAAAAAACGTAAATGAAATGTAATGTAGTCTAACCTGGTTGTTCGTACTTGATATACAAAGTTATTCTCACTATGGAGCCAAAACAGGAGTAATGTGGTCCCTTTTCCGTGCTCTGGTCAATACATTTTGAATCAGCTGAAGCGACTTGACTGACTTTTTGGTACACCCTGATAATAAAGAGTTACAATAAGCTAGCCTTGAAGTAACAAATGCATGGACTAGTTTCTCTGCAGCGTTTTGAGGCAAGATATGCCTGGTATGTGGTTTTGTAAATACATTTAGCACACAACTACAATCATAACATCATTAGAAAATGAAATTATTTGATGATTTTTATGACTGTGATATTTTGTTTTCTTTGATAAATGCAGAGTTTAAGCATATAACAACCCTGCCCCTCTAATCAGATGTCTCTCTCAGCTGGATATGCTATATGACAAACTTCTGAAGATTTTGGAGAAGAGAGGAGGACAGATAGGCCAGCGTCTGAACTGTATTATGTCAAACATGACTCAAGTAAGAATTCATTTTAAGGAAATTATACATTGAGTCAATAGTGTACACATTTCATTGAGCAAAACAGATTCTTTATTTTCTTATTCCCCTTCACTTAGGTTGATGATGTCGATTTAGGCCGGGATTGTCTTCTCAAGGGGCTGTGTGTGCACCTCAATTAGGACCCAGAAGATCTGCTGAGAGAGTTTGTGGTCAGTAGAAGTAATATTTGACCTTTTGATTTTTTTTTGGGCTTTAAAATATGTATTTATTGAAACACCACATAGTATATAGCCTAAAGTATGTGAACATCCCTGTTTTTTGTTTAATAGCCAGACTACACTGAAAAGCTAGAGGGCTTTTAATTTAAAACGGATAAAGGAAATGAACCTGAATGTCTGACCTGATTTTTTTATCAGGTCAGACAGGAGTATATCAGATAACAAGGAGGCTTAAAAGTACAGAAATCTGACAAAATGTATTTGTTAGATCTCACTCTGTTCCTTTTGTGACTGTGCACTCTGCAGGCAGAAGATGAAGACGTCATTCTGCGGTCCATTGAGGGGATAGTGGGACTTTATGTTGTCAAACACAATTCCACCATGAGACCAGAGGACAGATGAGACCAGAGGACAGATTGTCCTGGAAGGCCAACAGGTAATAACTGATGTGGACAACATCGCATTAGCTGCTACCATGTTATTTGGACTAATGTCTGCAATGAACCTGAACTACCCCCCTAAACTGAAGTGCACGTTCGAAGTGCTCCAGCAAATGTTAATGGAGCTAGATGGCAACATGCTCTCCAAGAAAGCCCAAGCTTTTAAAAACAAACTATTTGAGTGAGCTGTTGCCATGGACCATTGTGCACTTTTACAGCATTTATACTGGACTTTCATCGATACAACTGTCTTGCACTTCCTTTGTTCATGCTTTTTGATGTATTGATTTGCATGTTTCAGAAATGTGTGTTTTTCCTGGGGTCATGTGTTTTCAGAATGTACCATTTGTCATGTGTTTCAGAATGTACTAACTTCAAAATGTCAGTGCTTGTTTTTATTTGTAATACTTCCATGTACTTTTCAAAAGCAATGCCATTGCTTTTTTGTATTAAAGTGCCCTTTCATATTAGCAGGTTACTATTTAAATAATGGATTTGCAAGAACATTTCCTTTTTTCGGCTAGGCGTTGACATTTTCTGTTAATTGTTTACTATGAATGAGTTACAAAAATAAGCCTTTCTTTGCCATTTGGCCCAATAAACCTTTATTTTGGTCGGGAGAATAGTTTCCTTTAAGCTTCCTTGCTGTGTTCTAACACAATAATGTATATGTACATGCATTACAAACATTTTCTATTTATTCTATTTCTTTATTTTGAATGTATTTGTTAATTCTCCTGGGGCTGCATGATGGAAAAACCAAAAGCTCATCTGGATGGGTGGTGGTTGTTAATATTGTTTTATTTTTTGAGAAAAATACATGAATGTTGTTCAAAGAAATGTGTTTGTCTTTATTGACTATTTGTTTTAAAATGTTATGATAAATGCTGTAGATATAAGAGATTAGGATGGATCCTGTAGAAGAATGTACGACATGCCTCTATTCACATGAAATAAATAATATTATGTACCCCTTGAGCACTAGGTAGATTAAAAAACTATAGCATGTAGTTTAAACAAAACATTAATGTGGCTTTAACAGGTACAAATTAAATATACTGAGTATATTAAAAGCCTAAAATGAACATTAAAAAGTCATGTTGGTTAAACATAGGGTAAATGAATATACCTATATTAAAGGAAATATTCACATTAACATAACAATTTCATGTTTCTTTGACATAACATAGTTGTGTGTCTTTAAAGGTGGGGTAGGTAAGTTTCAGAAACCGGCTCGAGATACACTTTTTGTTATATTCCATGGAATGCTCTTAACATCCCGATAGCAATGAATATTTTAAGTGCTTTGACAAAAAATCCATACAAAAATGTCATCTGTGGAAGCCGTAATACTGTAAAAAGTACAACCAATCCGTTTAGCCGGCCCGGCTAAACGGATTGCCGCCCTGTCTGTCAGCCTTCCATCTTGTTTCACGCACAAATGTATCTCGTGCCCTCATTGGGCGTGCCGTCATTGGGCGTGCATTGCAGCAGTACTTCCATGACTCGCCAGCAACAGGCGGCCACTTTCACCAGTCTGCTGACGTCATGTGCGCGTTCATGTGTGTTGGAGGAGGTGCTCTGTAAGGAAGTCTGAAGGAAGGGGCGGATTCTTTTCGGCTGTGTACTTTCAAATTGTAGTGCACTCGAGCCGGTTTCTGAAACTTACCTACCCCACCTTTAACATAATGGAATAGTTTTGAGTACACAAGATTTTAATATATGCAACCGATGTCCATGTTTTTTATTACTTAAGTCCAACAGACTTTTTACGGTGAAGCTTAAATAAATAAATCCTGTTGCTTTAACAGGTACAAGTTAAATATACTGAGCATATTAAAAGCCTAAAATGAACATTAAAAAGTCATGTTGGTTAAACATAGGGTAAATGAATATACCTATATTAAAGGAAATATTCACATTAACATAACAATTTCATGTTTCTTTGACATATCATAGTTGTGTGTCTTTAACATAATGGAATAGTTTTGAGTACACACGTTTTTAATATGTGCAACCGATGTCCATATTAAAATCATGTAAATCCAACAGCCTTTTTTTTTCAGTGCAGACTCTTGACTTGTTCTTGTTTTATGTGATGGTCTGTCCCGTTCTTTTATAACCTCAGGGACCAAGTTGGAAATCTGTGTTTGCACTTCTACATCTTATCCCTTGGATTTGATATCCATATATAAAATCAGTCAATCATCTCTTTCCTCTTAGGGGCTGCTAATGTTGCTGTATCAGAGGGAAAGACCTTGTATGTAAAGGAAAAAAACGCAATGAGTCCTAAAACATGGTTTATTTTTGGTCATTTAATGTTTTAGAATAACTTGAAACGATGTTTGTGTGTTTCAGACAGCGCTGGGGAAGCCGTTCACCCACGTGTTCCTGGTGGCCCCGCTGCAACCAGTACCACCAGTACTCAAGTTGTAAAAAAAAATCAGGGGGGATGGTGGATTTTATCATATGGGGACATAATTTGTGCTGATAACCCGCCGAGGGTGGGAGACCTACCAGCATAAAGATAATTATTATACTCCTAAAACAACATGCATGTTATGGATGTTCAGATACTCCTTTCATTGCTCTTGACCAAGTCACCTCAGAATTAGAGTAGAATAACATTTAGGGTCAAATGCAGAGGACAATTAGGGCAAAATATTTGTTTCACTTTAATTTAAAGGGGAGGGGGAATACACAAATGTGGTTATAATGAAGTATATGGTACAAATCTTGTAGGTTAACAGTCCCTCATTTATTATTCAGATGGATCAACTGATTATACTAATAATAAAGTCAAAATAGTTTTTAGAATATTTAATTATAGTGTATTTTTTCAAAAAAGCAGTTACTGGTATACGATCAAAACTGGTATCTAAAGGGTTACATTTGTATCGTAATTAATTAAATCATTATGTAAATTCTTCATGAAAATTTTTAGGAACAGGGCATTAAGTGCAAATTGAAATTGTTTACGAAATATGAAAATATATTAAAAGATTATACAGATAATACAAAATAGGACCAATGTTGTCAATGGCTGCCTACTCCACTCTCCCCCATCTCATAGAAGTTTCCAAAGATGTTCATAATCATGCTTTTTGGTCTCAATTTTTCTGGCTCTTGCTTTCGGATTGTTAGCTAAGCAATGGCTTTGAAGCCAAGTCTTGACATAATACCTATGGTCTGAACTTGTTCAGTGGAGGGCCAACACACTTGATGAAAAGCAATTGGCTGACATGCTTTTTACCTCCAGGGAGCTTCTAGTTGTGGTTAAAATGTTCATCTGACTAAACCCACGTTCACACTCAGCCAGGGTCGGCGTCATGGGGGGTCATTCGCGGGCCATGCCCCCCCAAATGAGTCACTGTGCCCCCCCACGGGTGGGCAAGCCTTGCCACTTTAAAAAAAAAAATCATATAAGTGAAAACGTTTCCACTAAAGGTTTTTTGTGTGAAATACATCAGAAATAAATAATACAAATATAAAACACAGCCTGACTCACTGCTGCTCTCTGATTGGTGTGTTGCTTGACCAATGACCCCCGACTTTTGTTTTGTTATCATTACATGGCTGTGTGTTTTGATGAAAGCCCCGTGGCGATCTGTTCATCTGTTACACTGATTATACAGTAAAGCCATCGAAAATAATATGATATACAGTACAGTACAAGTAGCCTACTTCTGGGTCTCTGTGTTTCATTCAAGCTCGGCTCTGTGTGTGTGGCACGATCGCATTTTGTGAGTGCGCGAGCGGTAATGTGGAATGTTGTTGTTAGCATCTGGTTAGCTAGCTATGCTAATGGATATAAAGAGCTGTTTCTACACCAAGGTGGAGGAGAGTCCTCTCCTGTCAGACTGTGAGGATCGTATAACCTCAGCTCAGTGAGGTAAGGACTCTCTCAGTGTTTAGATAGTTAACTTTAGTGTAAGTTATCTCAGTGGGTCAAACGGTTTGGTCACCATTTATGTAAACAAGTATTTGCGAGGAACACATTTATATGTACATTAGCCTATAGTTATTAAAAAAATAAGAGAATAAATGAAAAACGGGTATGAAATACTATAGGACAGTAACACAAGAATACAGTTTAAAGGGGAGTGATTAGTAAAATATCCATAAAGAAAAAGTAAATCTGTGTACAGTTCTGTTTCATATGGGTGCTGAAAGATGTAGGCTATCCATAGATCTCTTCATTTAGCTCTCAAAGTGCTCCAGATTGATGCATTTAACTTCAATATTTAAAAAATAATCTTCCCGGGGGAGCATACCCCCAGACCCTCCTAGAGGAGGTTAGGTCCACCCCCACCTAAAACATGTTCACATGGATAGGATACTAAATACATTTGCACACTTTTTATATGGTGGCCTATGTCCATATGTTTCTGTTTTGGTGGTCGTGCAACAATCAATTACATTATTACATTACATTACATTGCATTTAACTGACGCTTTTATCCAAAGCGACTTACAATAAGTGCGTTCGACCAACAAAATACAAACTTGAAGAAAACAGAATCATATAAGTACATCAGGTTTCATAGAGCAAAAACATTTCAAGTGCTACTCAACTGGCTTTAGATAAGCCAGCCCTTTATTAGTATATAAGTGCTTTGTTAATAGTTCTATCGCTCAAAGTGGAGTCGAAAGAGATGAGTTTTCAGTCTGCGCCGGAAGGTGTGTAAGCTATCTGCTGTCCTGATGTCAAAGGGGAGCTCATTCCACCATTTTGGAGCCAGGATAGCAAACCCACGTGTTTTTGCTGATGGGAACTTGGGTCCCCTTCGCAGCAAGGGTGCAGGTCATAGGTGCGCTATACAATAGCACTACACCCCTGCAATGTGTATGAAAGACAATAGACTTTACAGCATGTTTTTTTAAATTGAAGTTGCGTTGGTGTTTGTGTGTTGGTTGTTGACGGCAGTGTGTGCCCCCCCTTGGTAAATGATTTCCCCCCCATTTGATTTGTTCTAGAGCCGACCCTGCTGACTCAGCTGTGGAGATGACCAGAGTGTTCACTGCTTGAAGGAGGGGTTTCAGCTCTTCTGGTGCTGGTGGTATCATTTCATCAACAGTTTTGAGTCTTACCCGCTAGCTAACATGAGAGAAAAACGTAGCTAAACTCCAAACTAAGTTGTTATTGCTGCTTATGTCCATAGATTCCACCTTTGCTGACTAAAGTAGTGAGTAATGACTAAGATTACTGATTCTTGACTTACCTGAAATGTTATTTTTAGTATTTTTAAATATGAAGTCCCTCAGATCGCGTTGTCCTCCTGGTTGCTTGGCCATTGTGATGACCGTTACCTGCGCTTCTGGCATCGATCAAACAGGCGCATCACGGCGCTCTGGCGCCCGCTAGGGCACTCGCATAGTATAGCGTCAGTGACTTGGTAAAAATGTCATTGCGTGTGTGCCCATAGTATTTTACTCAAAAAGCGCAAAATTAATGTTGAAATAGCAGTAATACCAGTGCCACGTTCATTGATAAAATTACATAAGGGATGGAAAGGGGGGGATGGCAGTTTTAGAAGGGGGATGATTTTGACCGTTTTTATTTCAGGGGGGATGCCATCCCCCCTCAACTCGAGTACTGAGTACCACGACTACTGCCAGGAGATCCTGCACCACATCAAGTATGTGCACACAAAGACTCCAAATATAACAATATAAACTTGACCTTTTTATGTTTCGAGACCATGGATGTGTGTGTCGGCAACATTTAGTTTGGTCTCTGGTTTTTTCATTGTTCTTTTTTTCTTTATTCTACTATTTCAATAATTAAACAATTTATACATCCAACAAACAAACTAAATTAGTAGAAGTGGGAGGGCAGAAAGCATAGCTTATACAGAGGTAGCCCTCCCGTTAGTCATCCAGTTGCAGGATAAAGAAAAAAGATAAATCAGTCATTTCCTTTCTCATCCTATTTTTATATAAACTATGATAATTAAGATAATTCTGATAATAGTTAGTATTATTATTATTATTATTATTATTATCATATGACGTGTGAAAAAGTTATATCCAGTTACATGGCAATATTGGATATTTAAAAACTGTTTATTTGCTGGATAAACTAAGGACTGACTAGTTATTTTATCTACAGTTTCTCAATGGAAGGTTGTGAAATATATATGTTTTATTATGTACACATGTGAGTATTACAGCCGCACTGCCAGCATGGCTTTAGGTTGGTGTTTTGTTTTTATTCTCATGAACTGAATAGTTAGAAAGGCTAACTGATTAAACTAAAATAAATCTCTGAAAGACTTTTGGAACCTTATAAGCATGGAAGGAGCTGCCTTCTCCCTGTCATGTATTGATAGGGAAGATACGTTTATGGGGTAGAATAAGATCATTTCTGGATTCAAATCATCACGGCTGCTTTCCTTTGTAATATGATATGATGTTCACTCAATATTGATGCCCTGGGTAAGTATCTTGAGTTTATATAGATATAAAGAAAGGAATTTAAAGAAATAATTCAAGTTTATTTATGTTCTGCGAAAACCATATACTGATGCATGTTCCTGTTTCTGTGGTTTAAGTAGAAACACGTGTATGAAATGAATCACTACAACCCCTCTGTTTCTTGTTTCAGCCTCATCCCGAACACATATCTGTGTGCCGGTGCTGAGATTCCCAAGCAGAGGGTAAAGTCGTTCATCCAAGCGCTGCTGAGGAAGAACGATCTGGATAACGTGTGTTACCGCTGCATTTTCCAATATAAAAAGCGGCCCAGTTTATTTGAAATATACTCATGTTTTGTGTTTCTCAGTTCCAGACATGCACAGTGCATCACTGTAAGAACTCCTTCGCCTGCAGCTTCACACACACATCAGGCTGGAAGCTGGCCTTCTCCGGCGACACCATGCCCTGCAACGCCTTCGTGCAGACCGGTCAGTGACACTCAGAGAAACGACTGCACGAGGGGGGAAATATGCCATAATGTTGTAAAATTGTTGGATAAATAGACATAAATCAAAGGGGCCTTATTATGCTCTTTGGGGTTCCCCCTTTCCTGTAGTGTGTCCTATCTCTGTGTTCCCTCCAGAGGGAGTTTCTCTCCCACACACTTCAACCCCCCACTCCCCCCCCCCTGCCTGAAACGCCTCCATTGGACTCCTTAGTTTACTTCCGTAACATAGTGACATCACTACATAACACTCGTGCTTCTATTGGCTAGCTCTAAACACATTGAACATGGTAGGCTAAGGGGCGGGACATCTCTAAACGGCTGACCAATCACATTAGAGCCGGCCAGCTAACCAATCAGAGCAGACTGGGCTCTGGTTTCAGACAGAGGGTGAAAAGAGGTGCTGCAGCACAGGCAGTATGAGAAAAATAAATATCTTTTTGAATATTAAAGAATCGAGACATGTCACAGTAGAGGCACAAAATACAAATATGAACCTGAAAATGAGGATTATAGGGCCCCTTTCAAGTGTCCTTGGATCTGCTACTTTTACTATAATGCCCTTATACAACAAATTGCTTGTTAAAAAACTCCTTTCTTTAAACTAATTAAAGAAAGTGCAAAATAATAAAAAAAAATTCAAATAAATAAAAAGGCAAATCACAAAACCAATATGAACACACAAAAAAGTTAGAGACCGCAACATAAGTAGACAAGAGTCCAAACCCAACATTTCCTAAGTTTTGAACTTACAGCCCAAAAATGTAAGGGCACGACCACATAACATGGCCATATGTCCTACAGCTATAATGATGTATGATATTAAAGTTTCACTCAGGCTCCTATGGTATGTAAGAGCAAATTGAGCATATGCTTTCAATATCCCAGTGATATAAGGTTATCTAGCTGAAGCTTGACTACACGGGTTGGGTCTGAATAATTTATCAGATATTTCTTAATGCTTTCGATCACTCTCGCAGCTGGCAGCCTCCCTAATGGCTCCCGCGGGATCCTTCTTAATTGACTCTTCTTAAATTGCTTGACTGGATTCCGTCCAAGCAAAGCCTCCGATACGTCCCACGCCTGTTCATTACAGACGGCTCGGCAAACAGGGCGCGCCCATGTCTTGATTAGGCCCGACTACCTGATTGATTTCCTGCGGGACAGGAAGTTCTTCTCTGTGATGCAGGCCCTCTGATTGGTTTGTTTTGATTTTGCAGGAAAGGATGCAACCTTGCTGATCCACGAGGCAACGCTGGAAGACGGGATGGAGGAGGAGGCCGTGGATAAAAAACATAGGTGAGAGAAATAAAGTGTCACAAACTGCCTCTGCAGGGCTTTAATGGTGTTTTTGTAAATGAATAAAAAGGCAGTTAGTCAGGCAACATAATAAAAGCACCTAGTTGACTCAGTTTTGAGTGCAATGTCAAACTTCTCCACTTTCCACAGAAATTGACATTGATTTTTGCACCGGTTATAGTGCCAGAGTGAGAGTCTGTCTTCACAAAAATGTCTTTATGTCCGATAGAAAAGCAATATTCCCATGGTCAGTTTCCCCCTGCAGCTCTTTAGTTTCAGCTTCAGTGAGGAGACAGTACATCTCTGACTCTCTGCTCCATGTTCTCTGACAGCACCACCTCCCAGGCCATCGGCATCGGCATGAGGATGAACGCCGAGTTCATCATGCTGAACCACTTCAGCCAGCGCTACGCCAAGATCCCTCTCTTCAGCGAGGACTTCGACGACAGGGTGGGGATCTCCTTCGACCACATGAGGGTACGTGTTACTGTACAACACCATGGTGTTCATTATAATCATTATAGTCATGCACACGAGGCAGCGTTTCCCCTTTGTGTGTGGAAGAGGAGCAGTTATTTTGGATTGTATTTAAAAACAAAAATATTTAAACATTCAATTTCACATTCTTTTTGAAACCTTATTGCTAATAATACAATACAATACTAAGGGGCTTTGTTGGCATGACCACATTTGAAACATAGTATTGTCAAGGCATTCCGCACAAGGGGTTATAATGTTAACTGCTAATATATGTGTACAAAAAGCCAAAGCAAAAACTCCCCACAACAATGGAACAATTTGAAATAATAAAGTAGCACAATATATTTTTTACTCCTTTACGTCTTATTTTTTTGTATTTTGTATTTAATTATTTGTTTGTTATTATAGTTGCAACTAATCACAATGATGGCAGGACACACCCTGCATGTTTTATCTTAGTTAAGCCCGGATTGGATGTCTCTCATCTATGCTTTGTGTCTTTAAAAAAAAAAAACCATGACAGCCATCTACTGCACTGAATCACACATTCATTTCAGAGTTGAGAAGTGTTTTTCTGGTCCAAATTATTGCACCTGAATGCATCATTTTAATAGCATTTAGACAAAGTTTTCTGTTGTTTATATTCAACAGAGGTACAGTATCTTCGTATTGTAATACAAAACAGATTCTCTCTGTTGAACAAGTATCAAAAACGTTTTAAACCGGTATCCAAAGGGGAGATTCCCATTCTTGTTTTTTCTGATCTAAAATCAGGAAAGTTTTAAACATTAATAAGTTTAAATATGCAAACACAAGTTCTGAGTTGTATTATCCTCAATCTAAGAACACAAATAAATACAATATATGAAATACTGTGGGAGCACTTTTCCATTCTCTCTGGCTTCACAATTATACCTCCATAAATATGTTCCTTGAGTGAATCATCGCTTATCAGTCGACATAAATAAATACCTTGTAGAATACACAAGCATTAATACAAAACATCCACAATAATATACAGTGTTTGTTTAAACAGTTGAATGTATATTCTAACTAAAACATTTGCACACAGCCAGTTTATTTGTATAGCACCACTGCCAAACTAAGTCAGAAAATGTCAAACAAGATATGACGCGATAAACGGTCAATTAGACAATAATACACTGTGGCCCATAGCAATGACGGTACGGTAAGAGCTATGCTACAGTAGTAGTGCTACATATGATGTATAACAAGAAACGTTTTGAGCCTCGATTTAAGAATTTCACACAATAAATCGTCTGCAGACAGTTTGCTTGCACTCCTGAGCTTTATATTGTTTTCTTCCACTGCTGAGTCCCCGTCCTCAAGTACATGAAGATGCTTTCCTTTGTTAAAAGCCACTGGAGTTATATTTCACCCCATTTACTTGATCCACTTTATTTTTGTTTAGATGCGCTTTGAGGACTTTAAAATCCTTCCCAGGCTCATCCCAGCTCTGAAAACCCTCTTTGCCGAGGACATCGGTGAGATGGAGGAGAGGAGAGAGAGGAGGGAGCTGAGAAACCTGAGAGAAAGCAGCTCCGAGGCGTCCAGCGAGCAGAAGATGGCCGACGAGGGCCGAGGTGCCAAAAGAGACCAGGAGGAGGCAGCGCCGCGCAGCGTGGAGACCAAGAGGCTGAAGACCGTCTGAGGCTGAGGGATCAACTAACACTTTCCCTGAGAGAACTCTTGAGTTTTTTTATTTAAATCAATTTGAGTTTTTGTGTGCTTGTGTGGTTTGAATCTAGAAAAATTGTGTATATTTCCTGCAATGCAGTGTATAAAGCTAAGCTACAAATATAGTTTTTGTTTTTTATTTAATGAAATAAAGTGATACCACACAATCTGTAGTTTTCTACAATTATGTCTTGGTCACCAGTGTCAGAGAAAACAAATGACACGAGCTGCCATGTAAAACATTACAAAATATATTATATTTTAGGCCAAAAAAACGTTACGATACAGTTTAGTTTACTATAAGATAGCTTATGACGTTTTGTTCGGACTTGCCCCCTTGGGATGGACTGTAATGTCTTCAGTCATCCCTTCTCTTCCTACATAGCATCATAATCAAGTTGAAAATGTAAGTCTTACAATTTATTTTCTTTTTAAGGTTATTTAACCTGGACCAGATTACTTTGTAAGAGGATGAGCAGTGTAACAGATGTATAAAGGGCATCCATCGTCCCTGTTAGGCTTTTAGATTCAGGTTTGAACAGCTGAACAAACAATGGATTCAGGATAAATCATATTTACATTTAAAATTCCCATCAGACTTGAATGTGTTTTGTGTTTTCTGCTGATTAGCAAATGTTAACAAGTTAAACTAATCTGGTGATCATGATCATTTGCTGCATACCAAATTGCACTTTCTTTTTTGTTTACTTTGAACACAAACTGCATCTGCCTTTACAACAGTATTTATGTTGCACACAGTATGCATACAGACGGGGCGTAATACTTTTTCATAGCATACCACCTCATTCTCAAATATCTGCAGCAATGGGGTTTATGGGTTGGATTTACTTAAAAATAATGATTTTATTTTACAAATTGCACAGATATAATTGCATATTGACAATAAGCATTACAGTGCAAAATATGTAAGGGCAAACAAACATGCGAGAGATATAAAATAAGCTAGATAGAAGGCTGGCATGCATACTGCAAAATGTGACCAGAAGCTTAGAACAGGTGGTAACTATGGTATGGTGGATATTGGATATACACCTATCGAACCTGCTAAAAGTTGGCATATTAGCATGCAGACGTTTACATTTAGTCTATTAAATGTAGCCTGCGTTGATGGAACATCACTTGGACTGACAGATTTTCATTTCAAGTATTCATTAGTTACTTCGAACTGAGCTAAAAAAGAAAATGTCAGACACTCACACACTCAGGTCCAGGTGGTATTGTATTGCTGATAATAATTGTAAAACTTTTAATAGTGTTTTTCATAACAAAGTTACATAGAGCTTTACAAGATAAAATGTAAGAAAAACTGATACAATTCCATTTAAATCAGTTTAAAAGTTATACAACATTGAGCAAAGGAGCTTAATATAAAAACTACTGCAATAAGGTGAATATAAAAAAAAGGAAATTATTAAAAAAGGGAAGGTAATGGAAGTGTGTTTTAAGAAATTAGCTAACATCCCCTGTCAGAGCACATCAAAACATGTATGACATTACTTTTGATAAATATGTAAAGATCAGCCTCACACATATTTGTAATCCTATTTGAGTGCCCATGTTACTCTGAAACACACATTTATAATTTTGTATTTAACTAAGCTACTCCACAGTAATATTCCTTTCAAACACATTTTTTTTCAGTTTTTTAAATAAACCTCCTAAATTCTTAACGGCTTTGGTTGTAGTGATTGTTTGCTTTTCTTAGTTTGACGCTTTTCTTAACTCAACTTTCCCAGCATCAGATCCTGTCCAATCACTTCATGGAAAACGTTTGTGTATTTGCTGCAGAAGAGTAGAGGTGTAGTTTCACCATTGATGTTGAAAATGCGCCTCAGTCCACACGGGGGCTTCAGAGAGCCACCAGAGCTCACATCACAGCTACTGGGGTATAAAAGGAAGAGGAAAATCAGCCAAGATGTTAATAAAGCTCATGAAGAATGAATTATTATTGCCACTTGAGGGAGCGATGGCTGCAGGAATCTTCTCTGTCACAGCAACAATGAGGGGGAGGGGTCCGAGGGTCAGGAGAGTGTGATCGCAGCTCTAGTAAAACTATTAGGAGAGACTGAAGATATTTGTTCGGTTGCACAGTAAGGATTGTAGAAGCATCCTAAATGTGGTTTGTTTAAAGTAGCATCCTGACTTGACATGTCCTGACAGTGTCTGCAGGCCTGAATGACCTTCAGGGAATGACCTTTCTATCATAGAGCGGAAGTTTTCTCAGAGAAAACACTTTCACTGCCTTGTTTTTACGCACTTTTCTTGCAGTAACTTCGAAAATGACTGCCTCTAAAGGATCATTTGAAAGGGACACTACAGGTGAATAATGTTACAAAATGTAGCCATGAAACTTTCCCTGTTGATAACATATAATACCATTTTGTTTTATTTTATATGTTTTCTGAAATGTTATTTTTGAATATGTAAATGTCCTAATGCTAATTTTTGGTGAATACTGGAGAAATCTACACAAGCAAACAGACCAGGTGAGTAAGAAAATATACTTGTGTGTTTACTTTTCAATATTCTGACAGGAGATGTTACAAATTGACCAAACCAAACTTAACCATTGCATGAAATACAAAATCCATCTTTTAGAAGGGGTCTCTTTAGGCTTTTGGGGGTTTCCCTTTCCTGTAGTGTGTTGTATAGGTTTTTGTGCATGTAATGGTCTGCAAAGGCTCAAATCCCAAAGTTCCCTACAGAGGGAGTTTCTCTCCCACACACACACCTTTTACATAGGCGACATAGTGACATAATTGTTACGCTTCTATTGGCTAGCACTTTCACACATTGTGAAAAGAGGTGCTGCAGCACAGGCAGTATGAGAAAAATAAAGAGCTTTTTGAGCATTAAAGCAGGGGAACGTGTCACAGTAGAGGCACAACTTACAAATAGAAATAAACCTGAAAATGTGTAGAATAAGGCCCTTTTAACATGAATAACATTGAACAATATTAATTAAGTACATTACTTAGTAAGGGCGAGTAAGACCAGTTGTATTTGTTTGTGAAGCAATGTACACAATTGGATTTAAGGCCACTCAACACTATATAAATAATTGCCATAACCCATTGCAATGTTGCACAACATGAAATACATAATACGTATCACATAATCACGATTAGGACAAACATTAAAATAAAAAAATGTAGAAGATACAAATGTGAAACAAACAATTTAACAGTACTATCAAAGATAAAAGATAAGTATCATTAAAAAATGTTTGTGTGTATCAGGACTCTCAACCCAGTAATTTCAATTACGCAAGAGAACCTTTTTGAATTAATAACTTGAAGTTTTTGATCAGAATATGTTTTGCTTTGGGTTGTTCTTTTTTAATAACTATTCTTTAATTGTTTTTTTTTTTTTTTAATGAAGTTTTATTGTCCTGATTATATTAAAAAATAAATATATAAGCTATATTCCACTCTAACTTGAACTCCAAAGGTAACAGTGACTTCTATGAGAGGAGCGTCTTCTGCTCAGATGAGCCAGATCTCTGCAGTAAATGTGACTTTTTAGAGATTAGTGGGTTGGGCGGTGGGCCGACTATTAGCCTATTTTCTGGAGTGTGAAGCAGAGAGATGGAGATGCATCGCTCCTGAGCCTGGAGTCCATTTAGGGAGCCTCTGTACAGAGGAGGCATATCAATGATAAGCAGGGAGGAGGCACAAATAGGTTTTTCATACAAGCACTGCAGAATCAGAAGGGTGGATTGATTCAACTAATCATCACCTAACCAGCTATGGACACAACAAACAAATATTGACTGCACAATTCAGAAGTATTCATCATGCTGGAAAACCACCAGAAGCTTCATAAAACTGGCCTGCTTTTTTCCCTCTGTGTGATGATGTTTTGGGGTCACGCATGCTTTAAAGTAATTCAGGTTTATTACAATGTAGGACTGTATTTCGGCCCTTACATGCCAACACTGCACTCGCCTAAGTAATTGCTGAGTTCTGGGAACACGGCAGTATTGATAAAATGAATTCTGGCGTGCAGTCAGACATCAGGCGGGTTTAAACAAGAAAACAGTGCAGAGTAACTTAAAAAAAACATGTTATATGTAGTTAAACCCAAAAAGAGCCACATTTAAATGCTTTGTGATTTTCCTAAACAGCATGTTTATTGAAATCCTGTTTGGGCTACAATGTGTATGTCACCATTCTCAGTAACTGTGGTTGTATGCCTTGCCCAAACAGTTATGTTGCAGTTTACATCCATATTTGTCAAAAATGTCATCACTTTATCATTTGATCTCATTAGAAGTCTAGGTTTGTTCAGGTCACAGAGACCTTTGTCCATCAAATGTAAAGTTCATCCATGAATCAAAATGAAAGTTTGTTACAAATGTAATGACATTAACTCAAGGTGTTCGTGACATTTTGCGTCATAAAAATTGGACTGACGGGAGCTCAAAGTGACCTTTAACCCCTAAGATCTAATCAGTTCATCCTGAGTCCAAATAGACGCTTGTGCTAAACTCCCCCAAGGCTTTTCTGAGATATTGCATTCATGAGGCGCATGGGGGGACAGCCCTAACACAAAAACAAATTCATTTTCATTTGTATATTGTGATGTTATGTTTTTATACTTTAATGTTCAAAATTGCTTTACTTTTATTTTCTGTCTGAAACCAGAGCCCAGTCTGCTCTGATTGGTTAGCTAGCCGGCTCTGTTGTGATTGGTCAACCGTTTAGAGATGTCCAGCCCCTTAGCCTATCACGTACAATGTGTTGGTGCCCTAGCCAACAAAAGTGCGAGTGTTACATAGTGATGTCACTACTAGAGAAACTCCCTCGTGTGAACTCTGGGATTTTAGCCTTTGCTGCAGACCGTTCACACGTACAATAAACTATAACACACTGCAGGAAAGGAACAACCCCAGCAAAAATAGAACCTCTAGACTCTAGAGTACTTAATGCTTGAATGAAGCCATGAAAAAAAGTATGTGATTCACCACAGCAAATGAGAGAGGAAGTCTTTAAAAAATAACATCATCAAACTAACTGGCATCTGCGTTATTCATGTTTGTCATTGTTTATTCTGTGTGGAATGAAGGGAGACAGATCCAAACAGAGCGGGACGCCTCTGATCAGATACA